ATTACAGTTACGGAGCTAAACATGATCACAATATGTCTAATTTTATAGAAAAGTGTTTTATAAATATGAAAAAATGAAAAAATATTATTTAATTATTGTATTTAATAATCCAAATACATGAAACAAATCACAATTCCAGAAAAAGACAATTCTAAATGTTTTTTCTGTAATCTTTTAATTATGGTTATCGTTTTCGTATTCTTGCAAACGATTGTTTTTATTGATCATTTGATAAGTGAGAAATGATATGTTATCTGTAAATTTTTTGCAATACATGTTATTATGTTATCAAAATCTCAAATTCAATCGAAATCTTAAGCTAATCTTTTAATAAATTATCAACAATCCATAATTTGATCACATTATTGATTTATACAATTATCGCATATTTATTTGAATCAAACATAATTAAAAAAATAAAGTTATTTACAAAAGTTATATTAAATTAATTTAATTAAGTTATATTATATTAATGCTAATTTGTTAAATATAATTTCTCTGCTGCTAACATTATCAAATGTATTTTAATAATGTATTAACAAAGAAGATAAAATATATGTATTATGCAGTATTACAGTTGTGATTATATTATATTATCTTTAAATTATAATATAGCATGTAATTTAATTTAAATTTAAAAAAAATTTAATTTAATTTAATTTAATTTAAATGCAATTTAATATTAAATAATATTTAATATTAAATAATATATATATTAATATTAAATAATATAGAGAGATATAAGCATCTTGTTAATTTAAAAATAATGTTAAACGAAAAAAAATTAGTTTCAAAAGAATTATATTTTCTTACCTTTATGATAAAATGTGGAACTCAGCAATAAGAGAAATCATGGATTCTCGTCAAAGTAAGTGAAAAATCCCGTTATAGTCAGACTGATCTTCAGTAGAAACGAACGATTTAGTCCGACTGTTTAGTAAATATATAATTTGATTTGCCTGATTGATAACGCAATCAAAGACTTTAACTATTTAGCTTTTGTGTTTCAATACTATTCAATATTGATTTCAATTCTTAACGTTTCCAGCAATCTTATTTTAATTCGATACAATTAAAATAATTATTTCATTAAAAATGTAATCAAGAAACATATCAAGAATGTATTAAGAATATTTGTCACTTATTTATATATTTATGTATATAATTTTAAGAATAATGTAATAATAAACTTTCATGGTTGTTGCTGGTTTCACGGCGCGTCAACGACTGAATCTCTCCAGCGGATTTTGCTATTGGAGAGACATAGGGTGTGAGAGGGAGGGAGAGAGAGAGAGAGAGAGAGAGAGAGAGAGAGAGAGAGAAGAAGAGA